GAAGATTATTTAGTTTCTTTCACTGAGCAGAAAATCAGAGATTTCACTTATGGAAAACTGCTAAACATAATAAACATTTTGTTAAATTCATTTTATTTATTTGAAAGAGACAGAGAGAGAGAGACAGAGAGAGAATCTCCCAGCTACTGCTTCACTTCCCAAATGTGTGCAACAGCCAAGGCCAGGCCAGACTGAAACCAGGAGCCAGGATCTCAATCCTGATCTCCCATGTTAGGTACAGTGTCCCGAATTCTTGAAATATGTGCTACATGCCACAGTGCACAATTAGCAGGAAGCTCGAAAGGAGAGCAGAGCAATCCCAGGCCCTCCAATCTGAGATGAGGATGTCCCAAGTCCCAGCTTGACAGCTGCACCAAACACCTGCCTAACACATAGGAAATATTTTTATTCCTTCAACTCAAAATAAAGAAATAAATACATTAGATCAGCAAAAATATAAAATTCACATCTGCAGATATCTCTACTAGGTATACTACTTGTTGAAGTGTTTTTTTTTTTCCCCCTGTGGATAAATTTATGTTTTCCAGGCTTTATTTAAAATATAGAAGTCTGAGGTGATAGGATAACATTAAACGCTGCCACAGTTATTAATCAGTGTACATTAAGATCAGCATTATGTAGTCTAGCAAGATTGAATTGCAGCCTTGGAAACTTTGACACCCAGGAAAAGATCACAGAAAATAAAAGCACATTTATGGAAGTTTAGTGTTAGTCATCAAGCCCAGAAACTACCTCAACTGGGAATTTAGATGTAAATAAGATGAGCAAAAAAAAAAAAAGGATATTTAGAGGTAAGAATTGACGACAAAGGGGAATAAGTCACGTAGCTGATGGAGACAAGCCTCTCCATGTGAATATCAGTTTCCCTTCCTTGCCTACTCTGTCATAATGGACTTCAGCATACCTCCTCTCATTCAGTGTCTTACTGTGACAACAGCAGGAAAATTACCTAATTACAATGCATGAGCCTAATTTCTAGAGGATGACTTGCACTGTGGATTTGTACTTGTTTAGGATGTTAGTAGAAGTTCTCTTGAGTCTTATTTTAGAAAACACTTCACCTTGATGTAATGACTTACTCTCTAGGAGTCTCAGAGTCCTGATCTATTCCATATCAGATTGTTCCTAAAGGATTTCTTAAGTTCCCATAATTTCTAACATTGCAGTCTTGCACTGATGTTTTTACCAATCCTCACTCATTAGTAGTCATGTGCCTCTTAGTATATCTTTAAGAGCTTTATCTTTGCTAGAATGAGTATCATTCATGCTTAATCTGTCCCCCTTTTTTGAGTCCTTGAACAAGTTCTTTTTAAAGGGCAGGATGTGCTTTCAACAAACATGATTCAAAAAATAATAATGATATGATTTATTCAAGTTTTTACTCCAACATAGCCATTCAAAATGTATTTAATACCTAAATGATTGAGAGAATGTTAATTGTAAAGTAAAAACGATCATTGTAAATGCACACTTTCAGTAAAATTCTAATGCTTTTTAGTGAATAAACAAGAAATATATGCTGCCTCATTCCAACTAGCTAAGAATCTATACTAACAATAAAAGCACTTTTGTTTTCACCTGATTCTTTCTGATGAAAACCCAAAACTGAAACAAGTAGATAAAGTGAAGGCATAGAAGTAAGAATTTTCACTCCTACCTGACCCCAGGAAAGATTCACTCAGAGACACTAGCGGTCCAAGAGATAAGTTGCCGAGAATGATTTATACTCGACTTGTAGTTTGGATTGCTTATCCCTAAAGTATTTTTCAACATACACTAAGGAAATAATTACATTGCTACCAGAAAAGATAACTCCAGAGAGGAAACAGTAATTGATATAGACTCATACTATCAGTCTTGGGATTTGAGCAACATGATTGCATCAATTTGAAGTACTTTGAGCTGATTGTCTTGAGTTATCAAGAGCTACTTCTCATGGGAATGTTGCACTATGGATCCATTTATTAGAATAAGATGAATAGAATAAGTAGAATTTTTGTTACTTGGAAAATGAGAGAGAAAGAGAAAGAGAGAGAGATTCAACTAATTCAGAGAGAGGAAGAGACCTTACTGATAAAATTATTTTGTGTTCATCCTAATGTGTATTTATGTACACATAATATTTCACATCTTTACAGGCTATGTTTAAAAAGATCATGAATTAGGGCTGGCGCCGCGGCTCACTAGGCTAATCCTCTGCCTTGCGGCGCTGGCACACCGGGTTCTAGTCCCAGTCGGGGCGCCGGATTCTGTCCCAGTTGCCCCTCTTCCAGGCCAGCTCTCTGCTGTGGCCAGGGAGTGCAGTGGAGGATGGCCCGAGTACTTGGGCCCTGCACCCCATGGGAAACCAGGAGAAGTACCTGGCTCCTGCCATCGGATCAGCGCGGTGCGCTGGCCGCAGCGCGCCGGCCGCAGCGGCCATTGGAGGGTGAACCAACAGCAAAGGAAGACCTTTCTCTCTATCTCTCTCTCTCTCACTGTCTACTCTGCCTGTCAAAAATAAAAAAATAAAAAAAAAAAAAAGACCATGAATTAGGAAAAAAATGAACATCACTAACCTAAACATAATTAGGACTAGAAATCATAGCCAAATCCATGTGGATACTTTATCTGGAATGATCCATTGCTGCCTTATTTTACCCTTTAACTTTAATCTTTTATCACTTGATTCTAAATATTCCAAATGCAAGTGATATGAAAAGTACGTTCCTTAGACTTGCCCTGAGCCTGTCTCTGGAGCTGTCTCTAGAGTGTGACTTTGGCTATGGATCTCAATCACTCAGACACCTGCACCACAAACTCACATGAAAGAAAATTATCATCACTCTATTTCCCTCTCCTTGCCACTCTCATCACTACACAACCACATTCACACAAACAGAAAAACATTATCAGGACCCATAGTTTCTGGCTTTACTTAATAAGGCAGGAAAGAAATAAGAAGGATGTGTCTCTTAAATACCCTTTAATCAAAATTACATGAGAATAAAAACTGAATAAATTTGAGGAACTGTAATAAGGTATGTTGTTTCTGGTTTCCCTTGTAAACAATATGAGCACACCAATGTCTCAAGGCATATTTCTTGGAGTTTTCACATTGGATAATGTTCATCATTTTAAGGTGTCTACAAATCTGGGATTCTGTTACAATTAAGGCTGATATAGTTGGTCTGGAGTGCATAATATGAATTTGCATGTCTGAAAATCACTGGAGTAAATCCTATTGTGTTCATTTGTAGATGTATGTTGAAGTTCAAGGACCTAGAAGAGCAAGTACAGCTAATGTGTCCCCATACCTGAACCTTATAACTGAGAAACTTGAGAAATATGAGTATTTCAAAAAGTTCAGCAAAAAGCTGCATGCACATTTTTCATAATATGTATTTTTATGAATGTTTGAATACTCCTTAATGCATGGATTTTAAAAAATTCTATACCAAACATCCTTTAATTGCACTTTTCCACAAATCTTTTGAATTCAACATATATATTCATAGAATACTAAAACTCAACTTCAAATTTCAATTGTATTTTAATTTGAAAAGTTTGCTTATTATATTATACATATCTTTACACTTGATATGTGTTTACATTATGGAATGGCTAAATAAAACCAATGATTTTTTTTCTGGTGTAAATATTTAAAATCTACTCTCACATCAATTTTAATGTATGCGATGTATTCTAACTTGTCATCATATTGTACCTGTTCCATTTCCTGAACTTACTTCTGCTGTCTAATTGAAATTTCGTACTTCTCCCATTTCCACTCCCACTTCTCACCAGCCCCTGATGAATATCATTGTACACTCTACTTCTCTGAGTGCAACTTTTTAAAATTTTTCTTGAAGGTTTTTATTTAATGAATACAAATTTTATATGTACAACTTTTAGGGATATAGTGTTTCTTCCCCCCTCTCCACCTCCCACTCACACTCACATCCCACCTCCCACTCCCTCTCTCATTCCATTTTCCATTAAGATTCATTTTTAATTGACTTTATATATAGAAGACCAACTCTATACTAAGTAGAGATTTCAACAGTTAGCACCCACACAGACACACAAAGTATGAAGTCCAGTTTGAAGATAAATTTTACCATTAATTCTCATAGTACACCTCATTAAGTTCAGAGGTCCAACAAGGGAAGTAAGTGCACATTAACTCCAGTTGTTGATTTAACAATTAACACTCTTATTTTTGACATCAGTGAACATCCGAGGCTCTTGTCATGAGCTGCCAAGGCTATGGAAGCCCCTTGAGTCCACAAACTCTGTCAGTATTTAGACATGCATATGCAAAGTAGAAGTTCTCTCCTCCCTTCAAAGAAAAGTACATCCTTCTTTTTTGTCCCCTTCCTTCCACTGGGGTCTCCTGAGTGCAACTTTTGTTCAGATTCTACTACACAATGGAGACATTGCAATATTTGTATTTCTATGCCTGAATTATTTCACTTAAGGCTATATCCTCCAATTCCAGTATATTGTCACGAAATATGGATATTCCTTCCTTTTCTATACTGAATAGAAATAACATTTTCTTTCTCCATTAATCCTCTGATGAACACATGAGTTGATTTCATATTTTATGTATCATGAATAGTATTGCAATGAATGTGGGAGTGAGGATACACATTCAAAATACTAATTTTATTTCCATTGAAAATACATATATATGCATGTATGAAATGCTGCAACAGACACTAGTTCTATAATATTTTTGAATGTCCATAGTGTTTCCTCTAGTGACCGTACTTACAAAAAAGTGTAAGAATAATTTGCATATACACTTCAGCAACCTGTTTAGAGTCATGGCTTATTGGAAAATGTAGACCACCACCTTGACCAAGTATTTTTTAGGACATTCTTCAAGGCGTGTTTTACATCTTGGATTCAGCACTAGGCTGACTAAGGTGTAGAAGACAGCTATTATTTTGGATTCCTCCACAGTCTTGTTCCATAAAACAAAATTACAGCCATCATGTGAGAACCACAGAGGAAGATGTCTTTTGTTGACCCTCAGATGACTTGAACCAAAGGATGGCAGCAATAATGAAGGCATAGGACACCAGGATAATGGTGAAGGAGTTGGAGAGGGTTGCAGATATCCAGTCATAGGCCATTGCAGCCAGCATGTAAAACTCCGTGAGGAGAAGAGCAATAAAAATGTAACACTGCGTGAAACAGCCGACAAAGGAGATGGTCTTCTTCCCAGATAAGAAATTGGTCAGCATCTGTGGTGTTGCATTTGAGGCATAGCACAAGTCCACAAAGGCTAGGTTGGTGAGGAGGTAGTACATGGGCGTGTGAAGGCGAGAGTCCGTTCTGATTAACATGATCAAGCCCAGGTTGCCTAGAAGGGTGACAAGGTAAACAACCAGAAACAGCACAAAGAGGAAAGGCTGGAGTTCGGGGCAATCTGTGATTCCCAATAAAATGGATTCCATTACTGTACTGTTGTTCATGACGGATATTTCCTTAAAGTCCACATCTATTCTTGAAGCTAGGCAAGCAAAGCAAACATAAATGTACAAATCATGTTGATGACAGTTGAAATAACATTTCTCTAAACATCCTTCAAAATGAATGAAGGAAAATATGACTTTTTGTCTATATGTGCTCGTAAATATGGAGATAAGCAGTATTAATGAGATGAACAAAATCCTAAATAATAAATCATAAAGAATAATAAGCTGCTGCTCCTCCGCACGCGGAGGAGCCGCACCGGACCGGGCGCTTGTTGTTCCCTTTTTTTACAAGTCCTTTCTATAGTAAAGTAAGAATAAGTAAACAGCAAACTCCCAAAGCAAGAATGAGTAGAGAGAAATGAGAAAGAACGAAGTAACGAACTTCCCCGCAAACTCTCCAACGCACTCTCCAACCAACCCACACCACTATGCTGTCTCTCTCCTCCTATATAGTCCTCCTCCGCCCATCCCAACTCGGCTGCCCATACGCCGAGCACGCCGCTCTCCTCCAATCAGGAGCAGCTCCTGCAGCTTGTCAAGTTGGTGAGAGGCAGCTGGGTAGAAGCTGTTTACTCCTCTCCCAGCGCCATATTGTGGGAGAGCAGATGCATAGAATAAGTCTTAATTCCAGTAACAGTCTAGTCCGAGTTGCTCCCCACAATAAGCATTCAATTTTTAAGAAGCAATGGTCAATGGGACTTAAAATGATTATAATATAACTACTTCATTTTCTGGGAATGGAGAGATGCAGGAAAAAAATCAAGCAGATTTTTTTTGTCTTCAAGGATATATGAAGTTGTGATGGGAATTATAGTTAAAAATAAGCTAATCTCTATTTAAATCTGATTGCAAAATGATATTTTATGGAAGGAGAATGAATAGAATTATCTCCCTGCCCTTTTCTCTGCTTTTCCCACTTCTTCCAATAGCATTGATAAATTTTCTCGTAGATGGTGAAGTAGAGGAAATCATTGAAATGCAAGTGATAAGGATCTTGGAGAAATAAGAGCAATTCCCTGAGCATCTGCAAGAAAGAAAACCATGTAGGAAGATAGATGTCAGGGACAGTAGAGTGTTTTGTGTTTAGGCTGACATGCCATCCTGGTAAGAGTCAGCCTTTCTTACAACTACCACAAGTCACTAACTCATCTACAGGACACATCAAATGATCAGATCTGGGCAAAATCCAGTGGTACACCAAACACTACTCCTTGAGCTTTGCTGGAATAGTCAGATGTTCAGTCAGACAAACAAAAATTTGGAATGAAACAGAAACTAAACTAAACACAACCCTGCCTCCGACTAATTTCCCTGGTGAACTTAGGTAAGAGTACATTTGCACCCTTTGCAAAAGAAATGAATTGGCTTAACTGTTAGGCCTGGTCTGCCATCCCAATGTATCCAAGTCAGTACTTCAGTTTTTACAAACACATATTTTATGTTTAATTTCAATTAGTGATTCTGATTTTAGATCTGTTAATCATGAACTCAACTCATATTAGTGGCAAGTTTAGCAAAATCTGTCTGGCCTTTATTTTCTAAGCTGTAATATGTGAAACTGACAAGAGGATGAATAAGTTCCTTTAAAGTAATTTTTCATTCCCAAATGATTATTGTTTCATTCTGATGTTTTCCTAAAAGCTTTTGCGGGTAGCTGTGTGCATAATTGTAAGAAACTCATGGGAAAGACTATGCCAGAAATAGATATCTGATAACCTTGAACCAAGATGTCCTGGGCTTTAAAACCCTACAAACTAAAGTTGGATCACTTGATAGGAACCCAGGAGAATTCATCACAACACTTATATCCATGCTTCTTTCTTTGTGAGCCATGCAGAAAGTTCACCAGAATAACTGATGACATCATACAGGCATCAAAACTGCAACCTAGGAAAATCTCATAAACTGGATCTGTTATATCAGAGAATGCTACTTTTATGTCAAATAGTCAAGAAATGTAGTCCAAAATCTTAGAGACATGAAAGTGCAGACCCAGGTATTCACCAGATAAAGAAAGAACAATGGATCAATCTATTCAGTTGGCTCAGTCTTGGCTCTTGGGAACCACAGCTCCAGCATGGTTTTCAAATCCTTGGTATGATCTTTCCAGTAGTTATTTTAATTATCTCCATTGGGAGTTGTATTCTCTCAAGATTCTTAAATGTTTGTCACCACTTAGTCAACAAATGATCTCCATGAGGATTCAACAACAAAACTTACAGAGAGAAGAATCATTGAAAGAACTTGCTGAGCTTCTAGTTTTGTAACCTATGCTGTCTACAGAAAGAGGAACAGTATGAGGTGTCTAAGAGTAATGCTAAATACTTGAAATAGTCCAGCAGAGAGCTGGACTGATCACACTTAACTGAGAGAATGACCAAGAGGGAGGAATTTTTCTGGGAATTTTGAAAAAAGCAAGATACTTCTTCAGTAAAGCTTTGTAAATTGTGCTGTAGCCTTTGTGCTGATTCAAAGTCTCACAGTTCATGAACTCTCCTTTGTAAGCACAATACACATGTAAAGCTGTCTAACTTGGTCTGATTTTATATTTTATTTTAATAATTATCTAATAATATTTTATTATAATATCCATTATTATGAAAGTGGCCCCAAAAGTCTCTGATTTCAGAGCAAATATATATAAAGGGTCAGTAGAAGAAATATCATGGTTTAATATCTCTGGAATCATAAACTAAACATATTACTGTGTAAGTGGGCCATACTGACAAATCTACCTGAATTTATTTTGTTGAACTAATATTTAATTATATCCCAGAATCAAAGAGTAATACCTTGAACCTTGCATTTTATTTCAAGAGAATATTCTTATCTTGAATCACCAGTTAAAATGAGAAAATAGCTCTTTAATAGAAAAGACACTTAGTCACATGATTTACCCAGTATACCATTAGCTGTTCTTTTAAAACACAGTCACTTCATATTAACTTACTCTCTGAAACTTTGTATAGGTATCTACAAGGTTTTCAAAACCTAAATCCATAATAATGCCTTTTACAAAGCGCCTACAATCTCTGAGTTAGAAATAGATGAAATAGAAAATTAAGTGAAGTAAAGAAACACTGTAAAGAAGGCAGAGAAAATCACCATGGACATTCAGAAAAGAAGTTGGCTTTGAATATGGTAATTAGAGTTATGGAAAAGGCTTTATGATGATGAAGAACGGAATAACTTTTCTAACCTTCTCCAGAATTATTACTAACACTAAAATTGGTACTGTTTTTACATGTGTTATGTTTTTCACTCTCTTATTTGATTTCTAATCAAAGCACTGAATATAGTACAAGATGCATTAAAACTTCTAGTTATAAAGTAAAGACACAATGTCCAAAACAATCTCCTCTACCTAAAACAATTCTAGAAAGATAACTTACATATGTGGTAACTTTTTTATTATTATTATTTGATAGGTAGAGTTATAAACAGTGAGAGAGAGAGACAGAGAGAAAGGTTTTCCTTCTGTTGGTTCACTCCCCAAATGCCTGCTACTGCTGGCGCTGCACAGATCCGAAGCCAGGAGCCTGGAGCTTCCTCCTGGTCTCCTATGTGAGTGCAGGGGCCCAAGTATTTGGGCCATCCTCCATTGCCCTCCCAGGCCACAGCAGAGAGCTGGACTGGAAGAGCAGCAACCAGAAATAGAACCGGAGCCCATATGGGATGCCGGTGCCGCAGGTGGAGGATTAACAAAGTGAGCCACTGCACCAGCCCTATATGTGGTAACTTTCAATCCACAGTAACTTTGTCAGATGAAAAAGAGAGAAAAACACCCACATATCAAAGTAGAAAGACATGGTTGTTACCAGTTGTCACATTTGTTCCCACTATGAGTTTAAGTTGATTTAATGGAAGGATAATTTTATCCCTCAAAGGACATTTTTGTTACTCAAAATGTAAAAACAGATGAATTGATAAAAATAATATCTTTAAAAGGAATTCCTAGTCAGTAATAGAAAAAAAATATCAAACTAGTGATCCATGCAACAATTAATGATTTGCAAAAATTTCTGGCAACAAGCAGATATGAAATAGACCATGAAACTGAAGGTTTCTCGGAGTACCCATGTCGTGAATTCCACTTGGTTCCTAAGATCTAGTTGTTCCTTGTCTTGCATGCTCTGAAATAGTCACATGTTTATAATAGGTTTTCCCCACTGCTTTAGCTAATCTGAGGGGGTTTTGCTCCTTTAATACACACAAATAACATTTAAAAACCAAAACAAACAAAAATGTAGAAGTCTTGCTAATATTGTTATTTAACATATAATATACATTTATACATATATAATATATTACGTCATTTATTTTGTGTTTTGGAATGTCAGGATTTGTCTTTCAAGAAAACAACTGAGGAAATGACCAAAATTCAGGACCAAGTAAAAGACATTTTGGTGAAAAGAATAACTTCTACTTGATCCTTTTTTTTTTTATTTTATTTTATTGACAGGCAGAGTGGACAGTGAGAGAGAGAGAGACAGAGAGAAAGGTCTTCCTTTTTTTGCCGTTGGTTCACCCTCCAATGGCCGCCGCGGCCGGCGCACTGCGGCCGGCGCACTGCGCTGATCCGATGGCAGGAGCCAGGTACTTCTCCTGGTCTCCCATGGGGTGCAGGGCCCAATCACTTGGGCCATCCTCCACTGCACTCCTGGGCCACAGCAGAGAGCTGGCCTGGAAGAGGGGCAACCGGGACAGAATCCGGCGCCCCTACAGGGACTAGAACCTGGTGCGCCAGCGCCGCTAGGCAGAGGATTAGCCTAGTGAGCCGCCTCGCCGGCCACTATTTGATCCTTAAATCTTAACTCAGTACAAACTGGGAAGGGAAGTCTATTTTGCTCTCTTGGGTGTTTTGAAGATGCCAGGGCAATTTCATCTCTTCCCCTCTGTGAATTCATCCCTTACATGGCATATATAGAGGCCATGTGCCAGATCTATGACAGGAAGGAGAGAATCAAAATGACTTCTCTAAGCATAATTAAGACAACATGAGAATTGTCCAAGCAAAGTAGATACTCCATTAGATATGGCCCATTGCTTACTCACTGTTTATTTCCATGTTTAGTCTTTGTCCTTCCTCTCAGATCACCAAGTATTAATTTTTCAAAAGCAAATGAAACAAAATGTGATCCTCCTGGGCTGGTACTCAGAAAGCCACATCCACAAACTCAAGTGTAGGAACACTAAAAACAATGTTACCTTGTTTTCTGATTGTTACCCCCTAGTGCACAGGAACACTCATAAAAAACAGAAAACAACTATCATGATGCATGTTTATGATGTCACTTAATGAGTCAAGACAGGAGTGCAGAAGAAGGATGTGTTTCTTGAATATTCTTCAATTAAAAAGACAGGAGGTAAAGGTAAGAATATAAAAATTAACTGAGTTGAGAGTGTGTTTATCATGTGTGCTGTTATAAAAAATATCCCAGGGCATTTCAGTTCGGAGTCTTAACTAAATCAGTACTTCTCAAAAGTTACTGTGCTTACTAATCAATTGAAGATCTGGATAAAATACTGATCTGGATCGGGGGGTACAGCACATGGTTCTGCATGTGTAGGAAACTCAGAGATAATGCCCGTGCTGCTGATTTATGGGTCATTATGTGGAGAGGCAAAGACAGAAATATAAATGTAACTAATTTCCCCAGAAATGATCATTTTTGCTGAGGCACTCAAAACACAGAGGATACCAAAACTCATCAACAAAATGCAAATACATTTCAGATAACCTTTCAGAGCTGTGACTTATTGGAAAGTGTAAACACTGATACCATCATGATCCTATTTCTCGTGAGGACGTTCAGCAAAGCCTGCTTGACATCTTTGTTCCTCAGACTATAGATCAAAGGATTCAGCACTGGACTGACAAAGGTGTAGAAGACAGCTATTATTTTGGATTCCTCCACAGTCTTGTCTGTTGGGGGTCTGACATACATGCAGAAGAGTGTCCCATAAAACAGGGTTACAGCCATCATGTGAGAACCACAGGTGGAAAACGCCTTGCGTCGGCCCTCAGATGACTTGATCCTAAGGATGGCAGCAATAATGAAGGCATAGGACACCAGGATGATGCTGAGAGAGTTGGAGAGGTTGAAGCCAGCTGATATGAGCATGGCGTGCTCCTTGACGTAAGTATCAGAGCAAGAGAGCTTGATGAGTGGTGGGTCAGCACAGTAGAAGTGGTTGATGACGTTGGATCTACAGAAAGTCAGGCGGAAGGTCAGGATAGCCTGGAACAGCCCATCGGAGAAGCCATAGATATAAGGAATAGTAGCCAAGCAAATGCAGACTCGCCTGGACATTTTCATACTGTAGCGCAAAGGGTTGCAGATGGCCACATAGCGGTCATAGGCCATTGCAGCCAGCATGTAAAACTCCGTGAGGAGAAGAGCAATAAAAATGTAACACTGCGTGAAACAGCCGACAAAGGAGATGGTCTTCTTCCCAGATAAGAAATTGGTCAGCATCTGTGGTGTTGCATTTGAGGCATAGCACAAGTCCACAAAGGCTAGGTTGGTGAGGAAGAAGTACATGGGTGTGTGAAGGCGAGAGTCCGTTCTGATTAACATGATCAAGCCCAGGTTGCCTAGAAGGGTGACAAGGTAAACAACCAGAAACAGCACAAAGAGGAAAGGCTGGAGTTCAGGGCAATCTGTGAGGCCCAGTAAAATGAATTCCGTTACTGTACTGCTGTTTGTGAAGGACATTTCCTGTGAGTCTGGGGCTGAACTTGAAGCTAGGCAAACAAGGCAAGCATAAATGTACAAATCACGTTGATGACAGTTGAGATCATTTTTCTCTAAAAATATGTCACTCATAACTACTTGTACTAGAATCTAATGTTGTATTTCCATTGACATTATTTCATTCATCTTTGTATAAATTATTGTTTTATTTCTATACCTTTTTCAGACATTTAGCTGTACTATGAATAAACCAATACTTATGCATATACAAATGCATATAATGGAGCTACATCTCCTCTATCTCTCTGAGTTACTTCTTTCCTCTACTTATTCTACAAATCTCAGTCTAAAACTACTGCTTGTATGCATTTCTCACCTGATTGTCTTGATATAAGAGGTTGAATTATTCTGCACAACCTACATAGTTCCAATTTATTCTTTAGCATATTGTATCATAATAGTAACATCTAGTTTCTACTTCTAGAGTAATTCTTCAAAGGTAGAAACAAAGCCCAGTGTATCACTCTGTCATGACTATTGTGTATACATTTATATACTGAGTTATACTAAAAGAAAGACACAGCAGTGGTAGCAGGAAAGCTTGAATTATTGACAATGTTTTACTCATCTCTACCTCCTTTCCTTTTTTGTTTTTTTTTGATATTTTGGGTACAAAGCAACTATTTGGAAAGCTTGTTAATCAAGTGAATTTAGAGGTCTTTTCAGAAAATCTAATGTGGGAAACTGGAATCTAAGTATTAAATAATTATTCACAGGACTACAGTAGTCATAGCCCACACCTTAGAAAGGCACAGATACCATGCATTTTAAGCACATATTAAATAAATGAGAAAAATTGTCAGATAAACAAAGTCTCACATAGTATTTTGATGATGGTTACTGTAATGACTGAAAGTGTTTATAAAGAAAATATTAACAAAATATTATTTCATGTTACTATTATTTAAGCTATTACACATAACTTGTATCAGAAGAGCTGTTAAGGGCAGATTTTTAGTTCACAGTTAAGATGCTGATTAAAATGCCTGTATTATACATTACAGTTCCTGGGTTTGATCCTTGGCTCCATTTCTCAATTTCAGCTTCTTGCAAATATGCACCGTGGTAGGGAACAGATAAAAATAGCTCAACTAATTGAGTCTCTGCCAACCATATGGAAGACCAGGATTGAGTTACTGGCTTGACTTTGCTTGACCCTGGTGATAAAGTCATTTGGGGAGTGAATCAGAGGATAAAGGTGATCTGGATTAGAGCAATCTCTCTCTCACTCTCTCCCACTCCCTCCCTCTCACTCTCTCTCTCCCCCCTCCCTCATTTCTTTCCTCTCTCCCTCTTTAATAATAAAAAGTTTTTGAAGAGGCTTTAGGACCCCCCTTTTAAAAAAATTTATCTTCATATCCCAACCAGTGCTGAATGAATCCTTCTTTCTCTTAGATTTTTTTTTCCAATTTGTCCAATTCATACCAAAATTAGTTGCTGCACTTGCTTTACTGAAACTTTTAGGAGGTCAGTAATCCTCTTTTTGTTACCATATCTCTTTGCCCAGAGGAGTAGGTACTTTATAAACATTTTTCAAATACAGTGATAACAGTTATTGATAGCCTACACAGACCTTTAACCACGTACCAAGTTGCAGTTCTATTGCTTTGCGTGTAATCACAAACTTAATACCTGAAAACCTATATATGACAGGTACTACTATTAACCACACTTTACTGTTGAGAAAAAAATGAATTACAAAAAGTTTAATTACCAGGCCAAAATCACACAGTTAGTGAATACTGGATTTGAAATATTGATCTAATCTTAGACCTCCTTTATTATCTGCAATGCATTGCCTTCTTAAAAGTAGAATTTACTTTGAAATTCCAAACTAGACAAGGGAGACCTTGAGCTCAGTGAAGGTCATCAATAGCTGGGAATAGGAACAACCATGGAACCCTTGCATAGTGCAGCATGAGAACAGACCTGTGCAACTCACTTTCCCCTTACACAGCCATGATCTACCATGTGGCTGATTCATGCCTTGCAAGTACCTGCATCTGACTTACCCAGGAAATATCACATGTAGAGGTGATGACATATCTTGATGCTAAGAGTCACTTGGGAGCCCAGGATGTTCCTTCTGCAGCCTAAAAGCTTTGCATCTGATTGAATTACTACATTTTCCTAATTGAAGATGATGATAATACTGTCTGTTCTGCCTTTCTCTCAGATCACTGTGGACAACAAATTCTAGCATCATGAACAACACTTTTCATTACTTGCTATGCTGTGAAATTAATCAGTGTAGATGCAGAAATGAACAAATTTTCAAAAATCCCTGCCCTTCTGTATTCACTCCAGTGGACAGAGACTAATATAACTCTAAGTAAATAAATGTTGTTTAAAGACTAAACAGGAAATTCAATTAGACTTCAATTTAAAGGCATCTTTTTTTTAGCAACAAACTAAAAGAGGAAGAGAGCAAGGTATAGGGCCATTTATATTTATTGCTAAGATATTCTATGAAGAATGAGGAGCAGATGCAGATACCCAGTGCAATCTGCTTTAGTGTCTGCTTTAGTGACAGAATAGAGTTCATGCAGAAAAGTGAAAAATCCAACTTTAAGGTTCCCTAAAATACAGAGGGAGAGAAAGAGAAAGAGAGAGAGAGAGAGAGAGAGAGAGAGAGAGCCCATCTAATGGCTCACTCCTCAATATCTATGGGCTGAGGTCAAAGCTGGAAACCAGGAATTCAACCCACATCTCCCACATGGGTGGCAAGAACACAATCATTGAGCCATCACCACTGCCTCCCAGGGTCTGCATTAGAGGGAAGCTCAAGATGGGAGTTAGAGCTAAGAACTGAACCCAGGTACTTCAAAGTGGGACACAGGCATTGTAACCAGAATCCTAACCACCAAGCTGAACACTCGTCACACACCTGTAGAATTTTACATTATTTTGACTTACAAGCACTGTGACTTCTATGGGAACCTGCAATATTTATGTGAAGTACATCAGAAACACTCATAAGGAAGGGAAGCAAAATATACCAGGAAGTTTGTATGAAAAGATAGAAATTTCTAGTGCCTGTGTATTGTCAGGGTAAAAAGAAACACCTTCTAAATATGAAACCTCTGTGGTTGCAGGTCATTACCTGGGCATTCCTAACTGAAGGGTGAATGACCTACAGAGGAGTAGCTCAGGGACACCGGAAAACAAGAAGTTGCAAAACCCACAACTAAGATCACCTGCAAGATATACTATGTATGATACATAATACAAGTGTAAAATGCACTGCTCAAAAATGAATAGCAACTTCAAATCAGTGACATCTCATCAAATTCTGGGATCTACTGGGCAT